GTCGGGTATATCGTGTCGACAGAACGTCGAGTATATCGTCTCTACAGAACGTCGGGCATATCGTGTCGAAAGAACGTAGGGTAAATCGTGTCGACAGAACGTAGGGTATATCTTGTAAATAGAACGTCGGGTATATCTTGTCGACAGAACATAGGGTATATCGTCCCAACAGAATGTTCCGGTATATCATGTCGACAGTACTTCGGGTATATCGTGTCAATAGAACGTCGGGTATATCGGGTCAACAGAACGTCGAGTATATCGCGCCAACATAACGTCGGGCATATCGTCTCAATAGAACGTCGGGGATATCGTGTCAACAGAACGTCGGGGATATCGTGTGTTCATAACGTCCGATATATCGTCTCAACATAACGTCGGGTGTATCGTGTCGACAGAACGTCGGGTATATCGTGTCAACAGAACGTTGGGTATATCTTTTTTTCTGTAGACACGCACCAATCATCCACGTCTATTATTTTACTATCTCATCGGCCCGTACATTGTTATTTCTGGATATCCACTCAATGTCAATAGAAATGTCACTTACGGAACATATTTCACTAATTTCTAAATCGATCGCGTGTAAATCATTATTCATGCTACCTTTAGTTACTATAGACACACAGTTCAAACTGTCCGTAAACCATTTAACTTGCCTGCACTTAAGTACTGACACAAATGATTGTAGCGCTAATGCAATAGCCTTCATCTCCCTCCAGGTGGAACTGCGAGATATCTCATCTTCAGTCCACATTTTATGGAAAATTCTATTATCAAATTCTACAGAGTAAGCCCCACAGGCATAAATAAGCACTGGCGTCTGAAAACATGACAACAGACGGAACACTATAACTGGCTAAACACCTGACATTTAGGGAGGAGACACGCTCTCGCCAATACACTAACTCCGATATGAAAGGGTCACAATTTACCTTAACAGTCCCATCCCAAGAACTCGAGTTCACTATAAACATAAGGGAGTGTCTAGTCATAAGGCTACACAATTCCCCTATAACTGGTTTGAAGGACATCACTAACCCTGTGACTTTAGCTAACTGTCTAGCAGTGATAAACGGTAAGGTATCCAAAATAGTGTCAGTACCCGCTGTAAGCTTACCAACTCTATTCTGAGGAACAGAAAGACTAAAATCAGACGAGTTCCAATTAAGGCCTAACCACGTCATGCTCTGGCATGGCTCCCATACAGACTTTTCTGTGTTAACCAAAAAACCTGCTCGATCTAGTGTATCCCTGACATAGTCACTATGCTGTCTACATATAGACTTATCAGTACTAGAACCTAACCCATCATCTAAGTACAGAACTATATTAATTCCACACCACCTCCAATGCTTAACCAAAGGTCTAAGTACTTTAGTCAACATACTTGGCGCGGAGCTTAAGCCAAAGGGAAGGACACTAAAGCAGTAGTACTGCCCCTTCCAGAAAAATCCAAGAAAAGATTGTTGACTGCTGGAAATATCTATGTGATGATATCCTGATTTCAGATCAAACTTAAACATAAAACACCCACGTTCAAAATAGTCTAATGCGAACTTCCAATCCTCAAACTTAACCTTTGCTTTCCAGACATGCACATTCACCTGTCTTAGATCTAAGATAAGCCTTTTCTTACCAGAAATACTGACCGCCACACTCAATGGATTGACTACATGCGGCACAAAAGGTACCGATATGACACACCTATTAGCCACCAAATCATCAATAGCCTGCGTGACAAACTCCGCCTCCGACAATGCTGATTTATTGTTATAAGAATACATTCTGGGAGGTGTCGAAATGAAAGGTATTACATAGCCTTTTTCAATTGTACTAACAATATTTTCAGGTGCATGCATATCCTTCCAGAACTGTATATGCAGTTTTAATCTACCTTTTACAGATGAAACAGAGCTGTTACTTTTATATTCAAAGAACTGTTTGTGTGCGCTCAGCTCCTTAATGTCATACAGGGAAGGAGAAGAATACTTATCATGTATGCCCGGATTGCCGTCCTCATTTTGAACCCCCTAGCTGCTGCTGCTGTTGTTGATGACGGGCCCCGCCCTGCCTGTATTTCCCACAGTCCCTCCGCCAATGCCCGAATCCACCACATGAAAAGCACTGGTCTGCAGGGCCTGCGGTGCGGGGAACGTTGACTCCGTAGGACCCCCGAAAAGGTGCTGAACCCGAGGCTGCTGGTATGGAACCGTTACGTGCACCGGAATTGCTACCAAGATTGAAAACAGCAGTAGAACTCCGCTTCCGAGACTCATTCTTCTGTTTGATACTCCTGAGGGCCCTGTTCTCTGCCTGGCGGATCCTTTTTCTCATCCTCACTGTCAGACGCCAAATCGTCCGAAATATATTCTTTTACAGTCTGCCACCCAGCTGGTGACTTATCCGCCAAGCGGATCAATTTATTACGTTTGTATATTTTACGTTTCAGGTCTGCCGCCAACTCGACACACCCGTCCAAATCACGATTATCTAATTTCCGTTGGAGCCTGCCCACGTCCGTCTCCAGTTCCTCATTAAACTGAAACTGTACCTTGTTTCCTGGTGACTTGAATTTAACGGACTTGTCTGACTTGGCCTTCCTTTGCTCAGTGTCCCCGACGAACATTTCTGCCTTCAGACTGTCTAACTTACTGTCCAGGTACGTCCTGAACAGCGAAAACGCCCCAATAGCGTCGCCCCCAGCAGAACTGGTACCCACGGGAGGAGTTGAGCCCCGACCCGCACCAGAATTGACCGTATGGGGGTCCTCTTCTCTATCACTCATACTCAAACAACAAAAATCTTTCTTCACAAGCGTATACACTGGCTGCCACAGCTCGAATGACACTACACCTGTACACCTTGTACAGCTCACCTGAAACCTCAGGTAAATCACGCACTACCCGTGGTACACGGGCCACTCAGGCCACTGTGTATTACCATACTACGCCCCGCCCCTTTACACACGACCACACACACACACACATCTGTGTGTCGCAACAACCATCAGTGATATCTCGTAACATTGATAAATATAGCCACCAGAGTTTCCTTTGCAGGCGACCCCTTATGCAGGAGCTTCTGGTATAGTATTATTGCAGAGGTGTTCTTACCTTGTTCTGCTGTCTAGAATGCCTCCTGATATCCTCTAGTTTTAACACAGCCAACCATAAACCACTGGCATAAGCCTGCTTATATGTGGAAACCATTTTCAGGAACTCAAGGTACCAGGTCATTTCTTAGGTTATAACGAGAAATATCCCCAATGCTATCTGGTAAGGTGTCACACAAATAATTAGGAGCTGTACCGTTTTTATTCTTTACAATTAAAAACGGTACAGCTCCTAATTATTTGTGTGACACCTTACCAGATAGCATTGGGGATATTTCTCGTTATAACCTAAGAAATTCCCAACATTTAAGACAACCAAACTTTAGGCTTGAAACAATGCGCAATTCTTTTTTCCCATCAACTACAAAAATGTGGAATGACCTAGATATATCTATAAGGAATTCGGCTTCTCTCAGTTCATTTAAATCAAATATAAAATCAAAAGGTAAACCACAAAATAAATGCTTTCTGGTATGGGGTTCCCGTAAATCAAATATACTTCATTGCCGTTTGAGAAATCGTGCGAGCTCCCTTAACTATGACCTATTTAGAGCAAATTTATCAAATACAGCTGAATGTGCATGCGGTAATCCATGTGAAGACTCTTATCACTTCCTTTGTGTCTGTCCCTTATACACCCAGCATCG